GAAAGCAAGGGATGAGCCTTGCTTGTCGGTGGAAGATCACGAAAACACAGCTGGGTTTGGTTGTTGTTGTTGGTGGTGGTGGCGGCCGCGTTGTTGTTTATGTAGCCGCTATGGAAAGTGCCACGTGATAACATGGGACACATCATTGTCCCCCACTGATGACAACTCTATTTACATGCACACGCACATCTGGAATACATACACACACACACACGCGCGCAGTATTGTAATTTGCCATTTGTCTCGTAATTATTTCCCAAAATTGTTGCACGTAGCGTTGCCGTGCGACGGAGCAACCTCCGCTCGGAACTCTGGCAGTGGCCTCTTGTAAGTTGACGTCACGGAGCTCCTTCTGAGCTCCCTTGTCGGGTTCGCCTCATGCAGCGCCCGTGCCAACTCTACTCGCTCGCCCGGCTGTAGAGGCGTCCACTCGCACGGCAGTCGATGCCCATCGCAAGCGAGCGTACGAAACATCGAAGTGAAACAGATGACCAAAATTGATTAACTTCCGCGCATCTCTCTGCGTAGGACTTCGAGGCTCGCGTGTCCTCGAGCTGTGCAGCTTGCGTGTCACGTACCGAGAGCTCGGACATCGTGCCACCGGTAGAACACGTCGGTAGAGCTGTGAAATTGGGCAACTCTTCGTAGCTGGGCGGCGGTGGCGGCGCCGGTGGCTATGCTGCTGCTGCACGTGGCTGCTTCCTGGAACCCAGCGCCATTGGAGGCAGCAGCAGCGAGAGGTTGGTGGATCACCGCACAGATGTTCTGGCCTAATCTCGATCGATTTCCATCTGGAAGGGGATATCGAGCGTTGCCCCCTCGCGTGCGCGGGTTTCCTCCCGGGCGCTCCGGGTTTGCTCACTCATCATACATTGGCTGAGAACATCTGAAAATTTTAACACTTTCCAGCAGGACCCTCCTGAAAACGAGTCATTGGACTGGGTGTGGCATTCATGCATCTATCTCTTTCTCTCGACGAGCCACGTCCTTGCTCAGAGACGTCTGTCATCATGGCCTTACATCTATTCAGCTCTGTCCATGATGTTAACTCGCACTGGGCAATGTTAGTCCATGTGAATTATTATTTGTTTCTTTCGGTTAAGTCACGTCTAAAGATAAAAAAATTAATTAAAATAATAGCATATTACGACGTTTCGATTGCAACACAAGCAATCATCATCAGGCATAAAAGAAATAGCAACAAAAATCTAACTAGAAAACTATAGACAGACATACAAGCAGACAGACATCACAACGGCACACAGAGAGAGGACACATATCGGCACAAAGAGAGGGGTCGTTTCTGTGACGGTCCCTTAAATATAGAGAGGGGGGGCGGGGACGGAGAGAGGGAGGGGGCAGAGAAAATTAGCATATCAATGAGTGTACGGCAACGTACTGCTGCTGCAAGTAAGATGACGACGTGGCACGGGCACGCAAGCTTGAAAATTAGGAGAAAGGCACACGAAAATTAAATAACCTAGCAAAATATCGAAATGTGATGTAATACAACACAGAGAGTCGGTTAACACACAATTAACGCATAGCCTGGTTGATTACGTATTTCAAAGATTGCTAAGTTAGAATTTTAAGTGTGAAAATTCCAAAGAGAGGACACAGGCAGAGAGAACAAATAGCCAGAGAGAGAAAAAAGGATAAGCTTAAAACTTCCCCGTAGAAGTGGTTCAATCTTAATTTTGGAGCTTTCGTGACTGCAGGAATTATTCTTTGTTTCTTTCGGTTAAGTCACGTTTAAAGATAAAATAATAAATTAAAATAAATTAAAATAATTTATTATTGTAAATTAAAATAATTTATTTTAATTTATTATTTTATCTTTAGACGTGACTTAACCGAAAGAAACAAAGAATAATTCCTGCAGTCACGAAAGCTCCAAAATTAAGATTCCATGTGAATTGTTAGTCGATCTCTATCTATGAGCCGTGTCCACTCGGCTCGCGTCCATGATCTTTGCTCCAGGGCCGTGTGTGAGATACTCCTCCCAGCTGCGTTGCTCGCCGCTTGACTCTCTCCACCCCGGCTACAGTCGCTCTCTCCACCCCAGCTCTAGTCGCTCTCTCCACCCGGGCTTCAGTCGCTCTCTCCACCCCGGCTTTAGTCGCTCTCTCCACCCCGGCATCAGTCGCTCTCTCCACCCCGGCTTCGTCGCTTTCTCCACCCCGGCTCTAGTCGCTCTCTCCACCCCGGCTCTAGTCGCTCTCTCCACCCCGGCTCTAGTCGCTCTCTCCACCCCGGCTCTAGTCGCTCTCTCCACCCCGGCTCTAGTCGCTCTCTCCACCCCGGCTTCAGTCGCTCTCTCCACCCCGGCTTTAGTCGCTCTCTCCACCCCGGCATCAGTCGCTCTCTCCACCCCGGCTTCACTCGCTCTCTCCACCCCGGCTTCACTCGCTCTCTCCACCCCGGCTTCAGTCGCTCTCTCCACCCCGGCTTTAGTCGCTCTCTCCACCCCGGCATCAGTCGCTCTCTCCACCCCGGCTTCGTCGCTCTCTCCACCCCGGCTCTAGTCGTTCTCTCCACCCCGGCTTCACTCGCTCTCTCCACCCCGGTTTCACTCGCTCTCTCCACCCCGGCTCTAGTCACTCTCTCCACCCCGGCTTCAGTCGCTCTCTCCACCCCGGCTTCACTCGCTCTCTCCACCCCGGCTCTAGTCGCTCTCTCCACCCCGGCTTCACTCACTCTCTCCACCCCGGCTTCAGTCGCTCTCTCCACCCCGGCTTCAGTCGCTCACTCCACCCCGGCTTCACTCGCTCTCTCCACCCCGGCTCTAGTCACTCTCTCCACCCCGGCTTCAGTCGCTCTCTCCACCCCGGCTTCAGTCGCTCACTCCACCCCGGCTTTAGTCGCTCTCTCCACCCCGGCTTCACTCGCTCTCTCCACCCCGGCTCTAGTCACTCTCTCCACCCCGGCTTCAGTCGCTCTCTCCACCCCGGCTTCAGTCGCTCTCTCCACCCCGGCTTCACTCGCTCTCTCCACCCCGGCTCTAGTCACTCTCTCCACCCCGGCTTCAGTCGCTCTCTCCACCCCGGCTTCAGTCGCTCACTCCACCCCGGCTTTAGTCGCTCTCTCCACCCCGGCTTCAGTCGCTCTCTCCACCCTGGCTTTAGTCGCTCTCTCCACCCCGGCTTCAGTCGCTCTCTCCACCCCGGCTTCACTCGCTCTCTCCACCCCGGCTTTAGTCGCTCACTCCACCCCGGCTTCAGTCGCTCTCTCCACCCCGGCTTCACTCGCTCTCTCCACCCCGGCTTTAGTCGCTCTCTCCACCCCGGCTTTAGTCGCTCTCTCCACCCCGGCTTCAGTCGTTCTCTCCACCCCGGCTTCAGTCGCTCTCTCCACCCTGGCTTTAGTCGCTCTCTCCACCCCGGCTTCAGTCGCTCTCTCCACCCCGGCTTCACTCGCTCTCTCCACCCCGGCTTTAGTCGCTCTCTCCACCCCGGCTTCAGTCGCTCTCTCCACCCTGGCTTTAGTCGCTCTCTCCACCCCGGCTTTAGTCGCTCTCTCCACCCCGGCTTCAGTCGTTCTCTCCACCCCGGCTTCAGTCGCTCTCTCCACCCCGGCTTCAGTCGCTCTCTCCACCCTGGCTCTAGTCGCTCTCTCCACCCCGGCTTCACTCGCTCTCTCCACCCCGGCTTCAGTCGCTCTCTCCACCCCGGCTTCAGTCGCTCTCTCCACCCCGGCTTCACTCGCTCTCTCCACCCCGGCTTTAGTCGCTCTCTCCACCCCGGCTTTAGTCGCTCTCTCCACCCCGGCTTCACTCGCTCTCTCCACCCCGGCTTCAGTCGCTCTCTCCACCCTGGCTCTAGTCGCTCTCTCCACCCCGGCTTCACTCGCTCTCTCCACCCCGGCTTCAGTCGCTCTCTCCACCCCGGCTTCAGTCGCTCACTCCACCCCGGCTTCACTCGCTCTCTCCTCCCCGGCTTCTCGTGGCGCCCCCAACGTCCCCGTTCACAGCACGATAGCTGTATCACTCTCTGCTTTGCTCCTTACAAAACGTACAAGATGTCGAAACTCGCCTCTCTCTCTCATTGTTCTCACCGATGTTCTTGTTGTTGTTATACCCCCACTGATATCCGTGACGCATTTATGTTACTCATCTCGTGTCTGTCCACCTTCTTAAAACCCACACTCCTGTTGCTGCTTCTCCTCTGCTCTGTGCATCGACGGTATCGGGCACAGGCACGCCGGACTCATGAGAGCAGGCGGTGGCGGCGGCGGCGGGGGGGGGGAGGAAGGGATTTTCTTTCATTGAGTATTGGAGCAGGGTTCTTGATTGTTATGTGTACTCCATGTGGTCTTTCCTGGCCCGCTACATTGAAACTCCTGAACAAAGTGATCCGTTCTCGAGTCAGTCCCACTTCTCAAAGGCCCCACAGGGTAGTTTTCATACTTGTTTTTTTTTTACACGTCAATCTTATCGAATACCCCCATAATATGTTAATGGAACTCTGCATAAGTCGGGCATGACCAGAAAGCATGTTTGTTATCATTCGTCACACCCAGAGGGCACCTTGGGCACGTTGAACTTCTTTCGCACCGTACATAGCCAACCGTGCTAATCCGAAGTTATGGGCGGGGGGGGGGGCAGGATAACAAACTAAACACAAAAAGAAGTTCAACAGAAATGAGTTTTCAATAAAGATTATTTAAAAGTGCATAGCTTCAGAGGGCCCCAGAAGGGCATCTCCGCCTCGGTGACTGGCGGTAGATTAAACGGTGTTCTGTACATTCACTTTTAATTTAACCAAATGCTGCTCTTACTTTGAAATCTCGAATTTGTAAATGGTGCTGCTGTCAGCATCGCGTCACCCACACACATCGTTCGGATCTCTCACGGAGCGGAGGTCGTCACCCCCTTGTTGAGCAAACGGCCCGCGGCGGAACGAGACGTCACGGAACTACTTCCCAGTTAACCTTGCTTTACGCGCACGGATACACGGGGGGGGGGGGGGGGGGGTGAGGGGGGAGCGGCCCGTGGTGCTAACCTCGTGCACCAGTGGGCCCAGCGAGTGAGAGAGCAGGGCGCACAGCTCGCCCAGGTTGCACAGGCTGCTCGCCCGCACCAGCGGGTCCGGGTCACGGGCGCCCACCAGGAAGGCGTGCACCAGCCGGTCGCGGTGCGCCGGAGCCACATCACCTGCGGGGGTTGACGAGACGGGAGGGGGAAGGCAGGAGGGGTGTGGGGGGACACGTTTACGCAAGTCGTTACGATCACCGTCGTCACCCTTGTCATCACCACCGGCATCACCACCGCCATCATCATCAGGAGCTCCATGCCAATGTCGATGTCTCCTGCTGCTGCTGCCGCCACGATGAGATGACTTCAGCAGAGTTGCGTTGGTGATGATGGCCGATGATGATGATGACACTCATGATGCTTATGGGTAATGTTAATGATGACGATGTTCATAAAGGTGATGATGGCGACGATGGCAATGTTGTCGACGATGATGTCCATAGCGAAGAAGACGATCACGGAAATATCGACGACGAATACCGTGATGAAAATAACGAACATCGAGCGGCGGATATATTTCACCATTTTCTATAACAGAGGTTTTTTTTTGGGTTAGATCGCGTAAATATATAGAAGTGTCGTTAAAACCCGCCACCACTCGACACAGCCAACTAGTAAGGGTTATCACGTAAACAGAACGTGGCCAATTCGTCACTAGTACTAGTGTTGGAGAGCCAAGCCACAACATTTACAATCGGAGCACGACGTTTCGCCAGTAATTACAACCAGCTTCATCAGGCGACAGCCAGATTTGTGGAGAAGTCCACCTGTTTTGTTGATGACGACACATTTATATATTTACAGGATCTAACCCAAAAAAAAAAACCTATGGATGATATTGGTCGCCAAAGCGTACGTGTTAAATTCACGATTTTCCCTCGCTCTGCCGCGCACACACGTGGTGCTCAGGAGGCCCGTACGAAGCAGCGCAGCAAGCAGGTTGCACAGACTTTGGCTATTCAACTCGCACGCATTCGTGCACGTGTGTGTGTGTGTGGGCTTTTTCCACGAGGGGACGGGGTCGGAGGGGTAGGGTCCGGGGAGCTCTCGGCACCGGCGGCCACAAGACTTTGAGCAATGGCTACATGCTCCGCGCGGGCGTGAACCGTGTTTATTCGTAATTGCGCAGGAAATCAAAGACACATTCTTGGCGAACGCCATCAAACATTTACCCCCGTCCCCGTCCCCGCCGCCACCCCCAGCACTCCCCACGGAACCCCCCCTGCCCCGCCATGCGGAGGCGCCGGGGGACATTCCACTCGGAGGCGGAGTTCGGTGCCGCCCGTAAAGATTCCCGGGGCTGGTGTCGTCGGCAACGAGGTGATTCGCGGCGCCGCTCTCTCGCTCCGCCGCGTCCGCCAGCACCTTCCGAGACCGGGAAAAACGCCCCCCCCCCTGCCCCCCCACAGGCTCGCGGAGGGGGAGAGGCGTGCGCAGGAGGAGCGTTGCGCGGAACGATGGACGCGGGGCGCGTGGGCAGCCCAGCAGATGCGATCGTCCGTTGTGCTGCACCTGCTCCACTTTCCCCACTCGCTAATCAATTTACGAAGCTGACTGGGTGGGTGGGTCGATAGCTGGGTAAGTTGGTAGGGAAGTGGGTCAGCGAATGAGTAGATAGGAAGCTGGGTGATTAGGTAGGTAGGTGAGTGAATATGTAGGTAGCTGAGTGAGTAGGTAGGTAGATGGGTGAGTGAATGGATAGTAGATAGCTGGGTAAGTTGGTAGGGAAGTGGGTCAGCGAATGAGTAGATAAGAAGCTGGGTGATTAGGTAGGTAGGTGAGTGAATATGTAGGTAGCTGAGTGAGTAGGTAGGTAGATGGGTGAGTGAATGGATAGTAGATAGCTGGGTAAGTCGGTAGGTAGGTGGATGAGTGAATATTTAGGCAGCTGGGTGAGTAGGTACAGTGAGGGAAAAAAGTATTTGATCCCCTGCTGATTTTTTACGTTTGCTCACTGAAAAAGAAATGATCAGTCTATAATTTTAATGGTAGGTTTATTTGAACAGTGAGAGACAGAATAACAACAACAAAATCCAGAAAAACGCATGTCAAAATTGTTATAAATTGATTTGCATTTTAATGAGGGAAAAAAGTATTTGAACCCCTCTCATTCAGAAAGATTTCTGGCTCCCAGGTGTCTTTTATACAGGTAACGAGCTGAGATTAGGAGCACACTCTTAAAGGGAGTGCTCCTAATCTCAGCGTGTTACCTGTATAAAAGACACATGTTCACAGAAGCAATCAATCAATCAGATTCCAAACTCTCCACCATGGCCAAGACCAAAGAGCTCTCCAAGGATGTCAGGGACAAGATTGGAGACCTCCACAAGGCTGGAGTGAGCTACAAGACCATCGCCAAGCAGCTTGGTGAGAAGGTGACAACAGTTGGTGCGATTATTCGCAAATGGAAGAAACACAAAAGAACTATCAATCTCTCTCGGCCTGGGGCTCCATGCAAGATCTCACCTTGTGGAGTTGCAATGATCATGAGAACGGTGAGGAATCAGCCCAGAACTACACGGAAGGATCTTGTCAATGATCTCAAGGCAGTTGGGACCATAGTCACCAAGAAAACAGTTGGTAACACACTACGCCGTGAAGGACTGAAATCCTGCAGCACCCGCAAGGTCCCCCTGCTCAAGAAAGCACATATACATGCTCGTCTGAAATTTGCCAATGAACATCTGAATGATTCAGAGGACAACTGGGTGAAAGTGTTGTGGTCAGATGAGACCAGAATGGAGCTCTTTGGCATCAACTCAACTCGCCGTGTTTGGAGGAGGAGGAATGCTGCCTATGACCCCAATAACACCATCCCCACCGTCAAACATGGAGGTGGAAACATTATGCTTTGGGGGTGTTTTTCTGCTAAGGGGACAGGACAATTTCACTGCATCAAAGGGACGATGGACGGGGCCATGTACCGTCAAATCTTGGATGAGAACCTCCTTCCCTCAGCCAGGGCATTGAAAATGGGTCGTGGATGGGTATTCCAGCATTACAATGACGCAAAACACACGGCCAAGGCAACAAAGGAGTGGCTCAAGAAGAAGCACATTAAGGTCCTGGAGTGGCCTAGCCAGTCTCCAGACCTTAATCCCATAGAAAAATCTGTGGAGGGAGCTGAAGGTTCGAGTTGCCAAACGTCAGTCTCGAAACCTTAATGACTTGGAGAAGATCTGCAAAGAGGAGTGGGACAAAATCCCTCCTGAGATGTGTGCAAACCTGGTGGCCAACTACAAGAAACGTCTGACCTCTGTGATTGCCAACAAGGATTTTGCCACCAAGTACTAAGTCATGTTTTGCAGAGGGGTCAAATACTTATTTCCCTCATTAAAATGCAAATACATTTATAACATTTTTGACATGCGTTTTTCTGGATTTTGTTGTTGTTATTCTGTCTCTCACTGTTCAAATAAACCTACCATTAAAATGATAGACTGATCATTTCTTTGTCAGTGGGCAAACGTACAAAATCAGCAGGGGATCAAATACTTTTTTCCCTCACTGTAGGTAGGTGAGTAAGTGAATTGGTAGTTAGCTGGGTGAGTAGGTAAGTAGGTAGGTGAGTCAATAAGTAGGTAGTTGGGTGAGTGAATGGAGAGTAGATATCTGGGTAAGTAGGTTGGTAGGTGGGTGAGTGAATAATAAGGTAGCTGAGTGAGTAGGTAGGTAGGCGAGTGAATGGGTAGGTAGGTGGCTGGGTGAGCAGGTAAGTAGGTGAGTGGATATATTGGTAGCTGGTTGAGAATGTAAGTAGGTAGGAGGGTGAGTGAATAAGTAGGTAGATGGGTGGGTCGGTAGGTAGGTAGGCGAGTGAATGGGTAGGTAGGTGGCTGGGTGAGCAGGTAAGTAGGTGAGTGGATATATTGGTAGCTGGTTGAGAATGTAAGTAGGTAGGAGGGTGAGTGAATAAGTAGGTAGATGGGTGGGTCGGTAGGTAGGTAGGCGAGTGAATGGGTAGGTAGGTGGCTGGGTGAGCAGGTAAGTAGGTGAGTGGATATATTGGTAGCTGGCTGAGAATGTAAGTAGGTAGGAGGGTGAGTGAATAAGTAGGTAGATGGGTGGGTCGGTAGGTAGGTAGGCGAGTGAATGGGTAGGTAGGTGGCTGGGTGAGCAGGTAAGTAGGTGAGTGGATATATTGGTAGCTGGTTGAGAATGTAAGTAGGTAGGAGGGTGAGTGAATAAGTAGGTAGATGGGTGGGTCGGTCGGTAGGTAGGCGAGTGAATGGGTAGGTAGGTGGCTGGGTGAGCAGGTAAGTAGGTGAGTGGATATATTGGTAGCTGGTTGAGAATGTAAGTAGGTAGGAGGGTGAGTGAATAAGTAGGTAGATGGGTGGGTCGGTCGGTAGGTAGGTAGGCGAGTGAATGGGTAGGTAGCCTGGGCAGTTAAGTCAACAGCTGGCTGGGTAACGTGCTAGAAGTCTTCGCAGTGGGGACCAAAAAATAAAGAGGCGACAACTGCGTGACTACTGTGCCACATGCGATGCCATCTGCGGAACCATCGCAGGCAACTGCCTTGCACCACTGTGATTGCTACAATGCTCTCACGGCAGCGAAGCGAAGCAGTCAATGTTTTCACTTGTGTGTTTAGTTTCTCATGGAAGTTTTATCGAAAAAAATGTCAAATAAACACGATTTTTTTTCACGTTTCAAGGTGTAATTTTACGCCCCGAATCATTTAGCCAAAGTTGTGAAAATCGCTGCAGACCGCAAAGTGGGTACGTAAAAATAAAATGAAAAAGCAAAAAAAAACAATCGTTGGCCAAAACTAAACACGTTACGACTTTCTGCCACTATGCATCATGGCGTAACGGGATGTGGCAGCGGCAATTCAATAATTATCCAGCCTATTTGTCAGTCCACTGCCGGACGATGGAGGCGTCTCCGTACTACGTCGGTCCCTGCCATTGCTTGACGACCGCGTCGTGTCAGTGGTGGGTTGGTAAAGGGGGCGGGGTGGGGGGTCATGGCCAAAGATCAGCGCGGGCACCGCTCGCCACTGATGTTAACCAGTGGCTGGGAATCGAACTCGGGTCGCCCCGGTTTCAGAGCACGGTGCGCCAACCCAACTGCACCATTTGCTCCGCTTCATCGTGACAATAATTACCGTACAGCTC